GGGGGGGGGGCAAGGGGCGGAGGGCGGGGGCCACCTCATTTGTGCAACACCTTCCTTTAGACTTTACGTTTTGCATCACCATCTCAGGTCACCTGGAAACACCCACAGCCCCCAGGCCGGGAGAACGAGGCTGGGGAGGGTCCAAGTCTTTCACTGCCTTGTCTCCCTCGACAGCCCACCCAGCACCGTCCCTGCCAGGCAAGAACAGAGACCCCCCACTCCAACCAGCCCCCCGACTCGAAGACCAGAAGTAAACACTCTGCTTCGATCGTGTGACAGCAGCGGGACCTGACCCCGCGGACGGGCCCTGAGGAGAGTAGGCAAGCTCAGAACTGGCTGCGGGGGCCCTGGGCTCACAGCTGACACCCAGTGCTCGGCCCTGGGTGCGTGGACCACCCCTGAGGGTGGTCAGCAGCTGGTCTGCCCCTCCCCCAGGGCGTGGGAGGCGGGGAAGGCGAGAGACAGGCCGTCCAGGTGCGGCTTCACACCGCACACCTGGCGTTACAGATGCAGGTTAGTCAGACGCTGCTGGAGGAACCGAAACACACGTCAAACCAGGAAATCGACCATTTAAACTCAAAGCATGGGCTTCACGCCCCGAGTCCACGCGGAGCTCCGGCCGAACGTGGGGGGAGGTACCGAGAGCCCTAAGGACCCTATATTCAAGTTAGGGAGGGGCATGTTTCATCGCCTGACTTCCTATATGTATGAATAAAATAAGCCTCTTTACTCGCCAGTGAAACATGAGAGCCTAAGAATTAGGAAGCACACTGAAAAGGGGCAGAATGCCGGGGCCAGTTTAGAGAAGGGACGACTACGTCAGCTGGCTTGCATTTTTTCAGATAATTTCAACTCATATGGAAAGTTCTAAAGTAAATTAATATTCAATCAGAGCAGCTTAAAATCAGTTGTTGTAAGAAAACACAATTTTCATTAGGGAAAAAAGTCACCTGTACACTAAAAAGAAAAGGCATCTAAAGGAATGATAATCAAAAATAGATTAGTCTGGGGGACTTCCCTGGCAGTTCAGTGGTTGGGACTCCGCGCTTCCACTGCAGGGCGCACAGGTTCGATTCCTGGTTGAGGAACTAAGATCCCACGTGCTGTGCGGTGCAGCCAAAAAAAAAAAAAAAAGCAGATTAGTCTGCTATGGAAATATTAAGGATACACGTAATTTATCCAATTCATCCAGGAAACTTTAGGGGAATAACTGAATTTGCATTACAAAGTTGGTCATGTCTCCACATCAGTAAGAGGTCATAAGGGTCCCACCCACCTGACCGCAGCAGAAGAGCGGCTGCCCAGTTGCATTTCAGCAGCTGTGACCCTAAAAATGGAAGCATCCTGGGTAGTCATGTCATATGATGGCCTGATAAGAAAGATGCAGGCTTCAGACTAAAGCATGCTCACCACACTTTTTCTTTGAGGGCAAGGGCAGCAGAGCATCTGCTACTGTCCAGTGAAGATGCACCTGGCCGTGGGTCACACAGCGGTTCATGGAACACACAC